CATAGTTACGCGAGGGAAAAAACAAAACTTTGCGGTTTGGCACTGCACTATTTTATAATAATTCCGGGCGGATTCCCACATTAGGTGCACAATAGACCCCCTGCACCCGCGCACCCGGCACAACGTCGACGCAGCTCCAAGACTGCAAAACTGCGAAAGGAAAATTAGTGCAGATGCATGATGATAACCAGCGCTCTGAAAAGAAAAAAAATGCACAGATTGACGAAACAAGCCAACGCAAAAATTCATAGAAAAAAGTTTTCAAATTTCATTTTTTTTTTGTTTGCGGTTTGTCACTAGAAATCTTTTGTCTCATCGACTTCGATTTCTCAACTTCACTCATTAATTTTCTTTTGAGCTCTCCCAAACCAAATCAATTAAGACCAAAACAAAAGTGAGCATATATTTCGAAGTGTGTATGTGGTGCCCTCTGCCCCGCTCGCCGCACCCACGCCGCTTGTATCCCGCAGATCTGTTGCCGATGCCCCGCCGTCCAATCGGCAGCCGTGACCTTCCCCCCACCCCTCCTCTCCTCCCCGCTGCAGAGGGTGGTTGTCCGACTAGACGCCCATTACAGAGGGGCCGAGCGGGGCCTACAGGGGGTCTCGCATTAAGACCGAGGAACCTGATTAGGTCGCCACGCCACGCAGTGGTAAGCTCCGTTTCCCCCGCTCTCGTGGTGGTATGGTGTCTCTGTCTCATGGCTCACCTCCATCGAGAGGTGCATCCGCTGTTGCAGCAGCCCTCCTCACTGGCGCTCGGCGCCGCGGGACTTAACTGGCAGGTATGAGAAATCCTGCGCTGCAACAGCGATTGTCAGGAGCATCATGCAAGTGCTATGGGAAAGACCTCGTGGGGAGGTACGGGAAGAGGGGAAGAGAGTCCCCCCTCCCTCCTGGCCACTCCCTCCACCATCCCACCATCCCTACCTTAACGGAGCTGCACCCCCGCGTACATTCTACGTGTCTGCGTGTTCAGTCGCCCTCCCCATCTCTCATCTCCCCCCCCTCTCTCTCTCTCTCTCTCTCTCTCTCTCTCTCTCTCTCTCCCCCCCTCTCTCTCTCTCTCTCTCTCTCTCCTCCCCCTCTCTCCCCGCGCAAACACACAACGTGTCTACGCTACGCCATTCGCAGTAGTTGCTGTTTGCACCGCTAGCCGCGTAGTGCAGTGCGGACATGGCATCGACGAGTGCCATAACTCGACTTGTTAGTTGCCAATTATTATTGCCTCGGCACTATCGGGCCCGTCATCATCATCATCACGCGGAATAGAGAAAGAAAGTTATTTAGCCGCGCACGCGCACTCGTGGTCCACTGCCGCTGCGGAGGGGAAGGGCCGCATAGTGACGAAAAGGCCGTAAAGGTTTGGTCCTGGTAATTGCTTTATAGGTGCTGCACTGGCCGCCGCTGCTGCATCAGCAGCCAAGCGCCTCCTCGTTTACACAGCGTGCGCGAGGCCGACATCGTCCCCACATCAGCCCCTTGTAAAACGCGGCCCATGTATTGACCACATGTTGTCGAGTTATACTGCTCGACCGAAGGTGATGATTTAGCTGCGACAATATAATTTTGACTTTCGCAAAACTTCCGCCTTTGGAGAAGCATTGATATTATTTTAAGTACTCGTCATTATGGTCACAATCCTTACCATTATCGTCATTATGATGCTAATCCTTGCACATGCTGCTGGTGTTGCAGCCGGGAAGGGCGCGAGCCAACACATAATGACGCGTCGCGAGGTGGCGCGGGGCGGCGCAGAGTCCGGCGGCGTCGCGTCGCGTCGTGCGTGAGGATAAGTGATCCTTTCCGTTGTACTGCAGGCTCCGCCAGGCTGGCTGGCCGCACATCAGGGCCACAGCGGCTCCCGCAGGACGAGGAAGGGGCATCCTATAGTCACACACTCTAAACGCTGCTGTTTGGCCGCTTCGCGCTTACCGAAATTTTGGCTTCGTTTTTTCCAATGCAAATTTTTGGGATTCCCTTGTAATGACTGCAAGTCTTGATTCGTTTGAATGCTAAATTTCAACATTTCGAAACTCCCAATTTTTATAAGTATCATCCCACAAGTACATTGATAGTTTAAGAACGCAAATGTCATCAAAGGGTTGAGTGAGTGCATTTAAAAGGAATCGGCAAAATGATCTATCTAAAATAGCGACCATGACCATGGCGTATTCAATACATATGACAATGTTTTTTACCGTGCCCCATCTTTATCTCACTCTTCCCCGCTGCCCACATTTCCTTTTCCTTCAGGTAGCGCGACGTATTCGTGCTCACAGCTGCAGTGTGGATTAACATGGGTGATCGGTGCGCTTTTCCGCCGCCTGCCTGCTTCTTTGAAACTGCAAAACAACATTCCCGTGTTCGACGCCCAGCGGAAGCGAGTCGGCGAGTTATATATATTTTTTATCTCTTTCGCCGGTAATATGCCGGGCCGGCTTAAGTAGTTGAGCGGCGCTCAACTCCCACCACTCTCGATATCGGCTCCGGCGTCAGTCAGACGCACACACACGCGCGCGCGCACGCACACACACACACACACACACACTGTAAGCACTTGACTGCACCGCTATAGAACCCCAGCCTAATGAATTTCGCTCGTGAAAGCAAAGTACCTGGATCCGCTGCTGGTACTATGCGATACCTGCTTTAAGGGCTTAATTGCTTTTTTTCTTCGAACTTGACTTCTCCCCCGCACCAGGACCCCCTCTCCCTCTTTCCTCGCTCTTTTCTGTGTGCGGACTTAATCCTTCTATGTGTATATTTGACCATTGGTCTGTATTACTTTTAACTCGTCGTGCTACGTCTTTCCTAAAGAAAGCAAATAAGCAACAAAAGGTTGTACAAAATGAACAATAAGGACAATCGCTCGGGCTTTTCTGTAATAGTGATTTGTAAACTGAGCGCTTTTAATTGTTTTTTCCACTTAGTCGTCGCCAGGGTCTGGCTGCTGGCTGCCCTACCTCTTCCCAACATTTTTGCGGGGAAAAAAGGATACAAGATTGACATTTAATTTCCTGAAGTGAAGTAGGCCTGCGAGGGTCTAGGCCGCGGGGTCCGCTACGGCGGGAGTTGCTGCCGCCGCTGCTGCCGCCGCTGCTGCTGCCGAAGGGCCAGGCCGCTACGTTTAAAGCACGAACCGACTAATTTTTTTGTTACTTTTTTTTTTGTTCGACTCACTTCTTTTTTCTCCTTATTTCAGTTTTGAGATTGAAAGAAGTGCCGGCTCACTGAGTGTGTGTGTTTCTCGCCCTCTCACTCTCTGGTTCTGTATTCGCGCGACGGTTTTAAAAGTGCGTCGGGGCTCTTTTATTACCCCGCCCCGTGCCTTACGGGCCGAGAGCCCGCCGAGAGCCCCGGCCACAGGCTGGAAATGCCAGTTATGCAGCGCGTGCAAATTGGAAACCGCATCGGGGCATCTGTTTGAGAGAGCCTTTGATTGTTGGGGAGGCAATTCTAATGGAATCCCATGGAATGGGCGCCGCGTTTGCCGCATGCGCCCGGCATGGGGATTGTATCCCCTATGATCGTATTGACTGCACATCGACCTTTTATCTGCTCTCGCCGATCTGCCTCGGCTGCGATAGGGTCTCTGTATCTCCCTTCCCTCTCCCTCTCTCCTCTGTATGTTCCCCTGTTTCTCTCTCGCACGCCGTGGCCGACCCCTTCTGTCCAGAGGTGCACAGTAAAGGCACTCGAAGAGGTTCAAGTATGCGATGCAGAATTAGAGGAAGATTGGAAGAGCACTTAACTAGGGCGGGATTATATAGCCAAAATAAATAAAACGCGCTAAAAATCTTTAGTGGTGCGTGACCGCGAGGGATCACGCGCTCGACACCCGAGCATCAGCCTTCCTTATTCCAGTTTGCAGACTGCCGCGGCGCCGGCCGCCCCTCCTCGGGAGGAATTCCGTATCGTAATGATGAGTCGAGATAAAAAGTGATTAAAAACCCGCGCGAGATACTCGCAGGTGTGAAATGCAACGCCTCGCGGCGTGATTCCACCTGCCTTCTCCTCTTCACGCACGAAGGGCGCGCTAATTGCAGTTTAAAGATGACACATCCCAATAAGGCGGCCCATGAGGGGCTCAGCTTGCCCCCCCCCCCCCCCCTCTTCTATCTCTATCTCTCTCGGTGGTTGTTGTCTGATCCACGATTAAGAGGGAGAGGTATCCTACCCGCGCGCGGCCGCAGCAAAAGGACGGAAGGGGGAAGGGGAAAGGTTGGGGAGGTGCGGAGGTGGAGGCAACGGAGACGATCACAGAGAGCCTTCTTCGCTTGACCGAGATCTGGCGGTGGCGGTGCCGAACTGTGCCAGGCCAGAAGTGTGCCCACCGCCGGTGCCCTGGTCGCGGGGCACACCGCAGGAGGGACCGCGTCGGGGACCGTTGTCGGAGTGCGTGGCAGAGGGCGCCGCGGAGCGCTTGCTCCTTTTGTTATCAATAGATCACACGAGGTCGGGGTCATGCGCGCACGGCAGACTGCACGCGGGATCGCGCTTAAAAAGGACGATCCACGAGGAATTCTTCCCCATCTTTGCAAATTAATCGTTTAAAACATTGGTGGGGTATTGGGTGGTTTTACCGTGAGATGCTCCATCATGGTCATAATAGTGGTAAATAGGCATTACATTATTAAGAATTTATTATTATTCCGTCGGCGTTTTGTTTCTTAAATTAAAAACTCGTTAACTTTCTACTCGCTGGCATAGATTATTGATGACAAATTTAAAATGACAATATTTACGACTATTTCTTTCTTTCTTTTTTTATTTTTTTTTTTTTATTGCAAGGGTGCTTTTCTACCACTAAAAATAAAAATTGGAAACTCAGAACGACACACAAATATTTATTGCTGAGTTTTTCCGACTGCTCCGTTGTTTTTTCTTAAGATAAAAATCAGACACGTCGGGAAACTATAAACTCCTTCGATGCTAAAAAAAAAATTCTTCGACATTGATTACCAGGGGCTCTTTTGGAATGATTCTCCCGTGACTTACCCGAACAAGGTATTGATCCACAACAGGAAGTCTACTCCTCGGTACACAGAGCACTCGCGCACACTCGTCACTCGCCACTCGCACAACCGCGTCAGTCCGGCTGACCGTCCGCGCCGCACTCGAAGAGCACACTGAGCCGTCCTGCCCGCCAGCCGCTCGACGCTCCGCTCGGCTCCGCTGCGCCGCCCTCTCCCTCTCTTGCCTCGCTCTCCCCCCCC